TTCTTTATTGAGAAAGAACACTGAGAACACAGCAGCCAAGGTTACAGGTGCGTGTGCTCAGTCAGGACAGTTTGAACTGATAAACTGGGTCAAAGTTATGGACCTTGGGAAATATTTCCCCAACAACTACAACAACAGTCTTTCCGTTTATTCCCTCTGTTCTTTAAGTGTATATTTTCCCATTTAATGCTTAAAAACGTTGAACAGCAGCTGCACATGATGCTGTTTTGACCCCTCTTTTAATTTTTTATTTCAGNCATTAACTGGGCTAAGATGACATTTAACATCTAAGAAAGATAGTATGGTTCTAACACACTGAGGTAAAAATAAATCTAATCTTTCCCACTCTATTTTCCTAACCATACTATCTTTCTTAGATGTTAAATGTCATCTTAGCCCAGTTAATGTCTTCAGGGCTCGACATTAAGGACTGCCCGATGGCCCGGGGCCATCTAGTATTTAGCTCGGGCAATGAAGCCTCACCTGCTGGATGCCCGATCGGGCAATCTATTATGCCAGTATCATGCAGCTCGCGGATCCAGTAATGAGTGACCCGAAAGTAAAACTAAACATATCTAAAACAGCATTTAAACTGACGGTATGTTTAAGCTACATTATACCATCAAAACATTGATTTTAATTTCTAACAGAGGCCGACTACAAAAGGTAGACTCAATGGCTCTTCATGACATTAATGAGCAGTCCCAAAACATGCTGCTGTATAAAAAGAAATAGGTCCTGATTTCTTCTATTTAGTGTTGGATGATTTGTTGTATTGATTGCTGATGGATGTTAAGATATGTTTTACAATTAAAACAAAAAGATTATTGTATTTGGAATCAAAAAGTTTACAAATCCTAGTTTTAATAAAATGACTAGCAATATAGGGTTTATTCAACAGCGGTAAAGCATTAAGTTGAAAAATTAACGCACACTGAACTGTAAAACGTACCATTTAGGAAAGGACCTGATCAGAAGGATTGACTAGTAAGACAGCAAAGAGGTGGTGGAGGTCTCTGTCATGTACAACCATTGGTAGATGTTACACCTGAAAGAAAGATAAGGAAATAAGACAACACAGGAGGACAAACACCTTCTTAAGTAAAAGACCAAATCATGTCAAGCTTTACATCTTTCAGTCTTTACAATGCACTGTTGGAAATGACCTTCCAACTGCTAAATTCAAACTCAATACCATAAATAACTGGGTACCAAAGTGCTTTACCTGATAGAACACGTTCCACACGGAGCAGCAACCATCCGGCTGGGCCTTTTGCTGCATATCATCTCCTCCCTCTTTTCCAGTAGATATCTACTGCCTCTGTCCAATAAAACAGAAATGCCCCAAAACAATCCTATTTAAAAAGTAAAAAACAATAACTTGCTTTTGGCATTCAAATGTATTAGAATCTCACCTTTTTCCTGGATGTCAGGAAGGCCAGGAAGTCGTTCCCTTCAAGTCCGCAACCAGTCATAGGAGTTCAAATGCAAAGCCTGAACGATGACAAGAGCGGGAGACTTACATTTTACAAGATAAGTAATACCAGAGCAGTGTGTACGACATGCAGAGAACAGATCAAATCCCCTGACAGGCTCGCACACTTTGGTGATGTCCTCAACTGATAATGATGTTTCATTTTTAGCAGCAAAGTAACAGTACTCAAGGTTGGACCCAACTCATGTACAGTATCTTTTGCATCTCCTCAACAATGGTCTGTATAGTTGAGTTGAAACAAACTGTCCCTACAGTTTCAGGTAGATTAACACACATTTGTAAGAAAAGTTTGCAATGAAGCACGAAACCCCTCTTTGTATTAAGCTAGCTGCCACAGAAAGTACAGCTTAACATGCTAACCTGGTAGAGTTAGCTAACGTTAGCTAACTTCATGTCCAACACAAAACCTCTAACGTGCATTACATTGACGATTTTAAACGCAACTTAAAGAGCATCTTGCAGGTTTTTTTGTAGGATTGTAGGATTTGATATGTTTTACGAGATATAAGGGCAGGAATTCAGTGGGAAAGGAGCACTTTTGAGCTCTGCTCTTAAAAACTGCTTTTTTTTAAGGTCATACGTCAAACGCGTCATATTACATAACAAAGGGTAAACATCTCCGCTCTCTGACCGCGGGTATAGTTAGTAGTTGCGTTGAGTAGAGCGGTTGTGTTTTAGTGAGCTGGTATTTTTCGGTAGTTTTACATTGTATTTCACCATTCGTAATCATGGTGCAGTATTGTGTTTGTGCAGGTTGCACAAATACCACCCTGTCAGGACATCGAGTCCACAGTAAAAAGGACCGGAGCTAGCGTTCGTTCCTGGGTGCGTCTCCACAGCTTTATCAGGAAACCGTATTACATCTCTTTCCCCCCCCC